ATTTAATAATTACAAATTTGGAAAAGACTGCAGCAGTTAAACAACAGTTAAACATGTACACTTTCAGAACCACTTGTAGCAAATAATAAAAACCTTGTCCTCCTACACGCATTGGATGTACAAAAAAATCATTATTCCAGTTCTTTCTCATAGATCAGTGGTATAGACTATGGAGTCATATATTGGACTTCAAAATAATATATTCGGATTCTACAACCTACAGACCAAAACCCTATAAGTGCTGTACTCAGACGCCTATCCTAACGTTATAACCGACTCCCTAACCCAAGCAAATGCCCAAACTAACTCTAACAAGAAATTTAACTTCATTATATGGTCTATCACGTGAACGAAACAGTTTCTTGCTGGTAACTAAAACTTGTCAGAGAAGCGTTTTGTCATGACTCATGTGGGGTGATTCTCAAATATCGTCCAAGAATACGTTGATTAAGTTGGTTTCAACTGCCTGTGGCTCATTTAGAAAAATCTGGAATGTTAAATGTAGATCATAACTAAGTCTTAAGAGAGACAAGAGAGACAATGTATCATCGAGAAGTATCAGCGAGAGACAAAGTATCAGCGTAAAGAATTATTAATAGGTCCGGATTCTGGGCGTGGATTCCATAAAACGGGCATTATTTGGTTATGGAATTTGAACATTGGCTTGAATTCCAATTCCATCTCGTACTCCATTTTGAACGGTGCAGTTCAGAGTCAGAACTCAGAGTACGGTGTCCATTAGTAATCAGACCACCACGTCTCGTCATTTATCGGCAGGATTCGTCTACAAAAAAACGTGCCGTCTGTTTAATGTAACTAATAATTGAAGCTACTTTAGCATTTAGTTACCAGCTCCTTTATTGTGAGAATTAGTTTTCCGACCGTATATAAGCTTATAAGTAACTAAATATTCATATATTTGGCCACATGAAAATGTTTGCGTTTCTCCAGCACGTTATTTGTCTTCAGTAACTACTTAACTACAATCCACAAGCTGGTTATGAAGCACATGCTGTCTGGACCAATCGTTAAACGGAAACGAAGGGAATATTCATCACAGAAAAATGTGCAAACTACAATCCATTCTTCAATCTATTCGTGGAGCTAACTGCGGATACAACAGCAGCACCTCCCAGAAGAAATCCTACCCGAGCCAGAAATGCACCGAACTTCCTACAGCTATTTAGGGGTACGAAGAGCTACGGATAGAGCGTTAGTATGTGCCGACCTTGCGCTGGGGAAGTAAGTCGTTAAACTACAAGCCCCAGCTATAACCATATCATTGATTGGTTTAACCGTGCAAGTTGATGCACATCTTAGTACACGTCTCATGAAGTACTTTGGACACATATTTCAGAATGACGTAAGTCACTGTGGATTACGGTGAATATGCAGGGTATTCATGCAGTATTGCTTCATTTGTAATCAGTTACAGTCAGTTACAGCTTGTAATCAGTTACAGTCAGTTTGAAATGATCATCAGATTATATCACTGACAGTCTGATACCTCATTAGGCACTCTGCGTACCTACTGCATCAAGACGAATGAGTTTTTCTAAAAACTCAGTTTTGGAGAAAGGAAGAAGGATCATCATCTACACACTACAACCTCTGGCTACGACAAGGAGACTAGCACCTACGAGTCTACAAGAGTCTAGAGTCAGATCGTGGACTGTTTATCGAACGTTCAGAGTTATGGACACGTTCATTGAAGTTTGAGGATATTGGTAAATATTAGTGACCCTACTGAATGGCACGAAGATGTAAAATGTGTCACACTATGACATTATATAAACCCTCTCTGCCTAGGATAATCATTTCCTCGTCTAGATAAGCTTTGTCGCATAACGATGTCTTTATCAGACGATAAGATATCGCTTAAATGCTGCCGGCAGTGAGTTGTAAACTTTGTCACACTATAAAACCGTGACAGAGTTTATATGGACCCCTTGTTGCCGTGTTTGACCAAATTTTCGAATTTCCAATTCATAGGATAGTTGCATATGACTATTATCTACATATTTAGCGACTTTTTTCGTTAAATGGTAGCACCATGTAAACTCCGTCACAAATTTAAGAAATTTATATGAGGGATGTTTATGACATCCTGACAAGAAATGCCGAATAGTCTAGCATTATTTGTGAGCTAAATGTGTTCGGAATTGTTCACATATTTCATTGTTATAGGCAAATACAAATACAGAAGGCAGAAATAGGTTAACTTTGTCACATACATTTGTATGATATCTCAACATGTGTGAAATTGAGTAAATATTAGTATACCAACTTAAACACCCTATATTACGTACTACTATGGATAAGTTAACAATATTTCAACCACACACCGGTCATGTATAAATTATTATACTATGGCAGTGATATGTTAACATTGGAAAAATTTCAACACCTGAACAATATTTTTTTGTGACGAAATTTACAAATTTTGGCCATGTTCAGTGAACATGGCCAAAATTTGTAAATTTCGTCACAAAAAAATATTATAACTTTATTTGCTTTTTGTTGGCAAAATAATTAGTCTAGTTTATCGACATAGGTATGATAATAAAGTAACATTATATCCTTATCGAGGTATGATTCTTCAAAATAGGGGCAAGAAATATAAATTTCGTCACATCAGCCATTGCATTAGTTAGATAGATTTCATATCAACAGTCCTTATTATAGGTGGAATGGATTTATACAGGAAATATAGGAACCCATGCCAATTTTTCATCACATTGAAATTATACTGTTGGGGCAGGAAAAGTAAATTTCGTCACATTTCAGTAACTTAGTAAAATTAAACTCAGCATTGTTAAACTTGAGTTCTAATTTGCTGAACAATAACCAACCAATAATTCCTGGAAGAACATTGAATTCTAACCGAGGTATGGTTCTTCAAAATAGGGTCAAGAAATGTAAATTTCGTCAGATACGTCATTGTAAAATTAAGATACAATTTCTTTCACGTGAACAGTCCTAATGATAGGCTGAAATGATTAATACAGAGATACAGGAAATATAAAAACCCAAATGAATTAATTTAATTCAAATTTATTACAGATCATAGTAACATACTGAAGTGTAGCACAGTTTACCTACCATACTATAAGTTACATCTTGATGCAAGCTAGTAAGGCCAAAGTATCTTGATTCTTGATGCAAGCAAACTACAGTGGAATTCTTATTTAGAACAGCCTTCTTTTACTTGGACATTTACAAATTTAAATTTATCATAGATCATAGTAACAGACTGAAGTGTAGCACAGTTTGAATACTACGAGACTACAGATATATATCTTGATACAAGTAAGCAGATAAGGAGGAATGTTGAGACCAATTATGATGAGCACAGCTGTCCTTGTATAGCTGCTCCACTTCCAGTTCACTAACATTTAGTTCTCTTTAAGTTTAAGTTCTTTGTTTAAGACTCTGGGATGATATTTCAACGAATGGTTATCTATTGATGACTCTCGCCCAGACTGTATCCATTTAAGGCATCCGCTCCCTTCTTTGATTTGCGATAATTATCGTGAACAAAATTAGATTCTGTTATTTTTAATAAATAGGTATAGTTCTTCAAAATAGGGGCAAGAAATGTCAATTCCGTCACATATGTCATTTTAAAATTTAGATAGATTTTCTTTCATATCAACAGTCCTTATTATAGTTGGAATGGATTTATACAAGAAATGTTGAAACCCATGATGCCAATTTTTCGTCACATTGAAATTATACTGTTGGGGCAGGAAAAGTGAATTTCGTCACATTTCAGTAACTTAGTAAAATTAAACTCAGCATTGCTAAACTTGAGTTCTAATTTGCTGAGCAATAACCAACCAATAATTCCTGGAAGAACATTGAATTCTAACCGAGGTATGGTTCTTCAAAAAAGGGTCAAGAAATGTAAATTTCGTCACATACGTCATTGTAAAATTAAGATACAATTTTTTTCACGTGAACAGTTCTAATTATAGCCTGAAATGATTAATACAGAGATACAGGAAATATAAAAACACATGCCCATTTTATAATGCACGTAATATGTTAATCACAGACTATTTCATTCTATAATAATCATAGTTTTTTCAAATTTAACCTATTTACGATGTCGTATCATGACGATGTTTACATCAACAGCCCTATACTTGAATCAACTGTATCCGTGTATCGTCCTTATATAGAGTTTTCCCGCCTTCCAAACCAAAATCAGATATAAATGATTTCGGAAATTCACCCAGAATTTCAAATTCCATATAATGTGACAGAAATTATAAAAGAGGTCTCGTTTTCTGAGTGTGACAAAGTTTACGAAATATTGTTTTAAAGCCGTTCGATCACTGCCCTTTAGGCCTACGTTGTATCATAATTGTTAGATTGACCTTATCTACTATATTTTAGACCAAAAAATGCTAATTGAGCAGCTATGGTAAACCATGTCACAAAAATGTGACATTTTTTACATTATAGTGCCTAAAAGCAATAAATTTTATTTCTGAGCAGTGCATATAGGAGTATGGGTCACGTGGCTAATGTTCAGAACTTATGAATACGCTAGATTGATTGATGCTAAAATTAAGCCACTAAATGCTATTTTAGAAATTTACCAATATCCTCAAACTTCAATGAACGTGTCCTTATATGAACTTTATTATGAATTGTTATTATTGAGGACTTTATTATCGCATGAGGTTTTTAAAATGTCGGTTATTCGGACGATGAATACTTTGGATGATGATTAGTTTTATAGAGTTCTCCTGTTTTAAGATTCTTCTTAAAGTTTGTTAGGCCACTTAAGAGTTGTTTGTCATAATATTTTTCAAGTTAAATTATTCCAATTCTTTAGGGGGTGAGACGTTGTACCCTGCATTGGATCGCTTTACATTCCTTGGCGCCCTCTGTCCTTTAGTCACTTACCCTGATTTCACCCTCCTGCGGCGATTTGTTTCATGTTTATTTACGGGTAACTGCGCTCCTGGTACTGTGATTGGAACGGGAGCGGCAGGGAGCCACGTTACGTTTGCCACGTCTTTTGTTTACATTGAGAGAACTATTCTGTATTTACTGTAGTTGCTGACTTCTGATTTTGTTTACTAGAGAAATGATCTATTTCTTGTATATCATACCTCACACTACCTAGCAGCATTCTAAATAACACAGTAACACAGCTCACTCATTTTGATATCAGCAGGATGATGTTTGCATTGACAACTTTACTAGCAGTGGTGGGACTGGTGACCGGTGATGGGGTTGGACACAACAAGCTTCTCAACTTCCCCTCAGCCTCCATTGCCAACTACATCAGCTACAAGACTGATCTACCTGCTATGACTGGATTGACCGTGTGTGCCTGGCAGCAGAAGAGTTACTCCGATGATAAAAGATGCTGGTTCAGCTACGCGGTCTCAGGATCAACCAACGAGATTCTCTTGGGAGAGAGGGAAAAGGGTGTCTACGTCTTCTACTTTGCTGGAAGCAACTTTGGAGCTAACGTGGGGAGTTTAGAGAACCAGTGGGTGCACGTCTGTGCAGCCTGGGATTCAGAAAGTGGAGTAGCCGTCATCAGTGTCAACGGAGAAGCAGCAGCAACGCAAGAGAACTTTAAAAAGGGCGCTAGCGTGAGTGCAGCAGGTAACTTGGTTATCGGACAGGAGCAGGATTCTGTAGGAGGAGGCTTCGACGCTAGCCAAGCGTACGTTGGCAGACTTTACAACATCAACGTGTGGAATTACGCTCTCAACTCCACTGAAGTGTCATTCCTTTACGAGACAGGTCTTTGTGGATTCGGCTCCACTGAGGAGGACCCCATCATCTCTTATGCTGATATTCTGGGCCAGGATATGACAGGAAATTTGGCCGTTGTTGATGGGCTCTGCATTGACCTTGAGGATCCAAGTGAAGGGCAAATCATGAGGTTCCCTCCACAGTCGAAAGCTAGCACGAAAAACTTCTTGCAGTTCACTCCCAACTTCGAAGCAGACGATTTCGCAGAGTTCTCCATCTGCACCTGGTTCTTCAAGACATACGGAGACCAGTCTAGGTACTTCCTGAGTTACGCAGTTTCAGGTCTGGATAATTCCATCATCCTAGGTGAACAGGCCACCCTTGGCTTCTGGGTAAGCGGAGAGAAAATCCTGACAGACATTTTACTAGACCAGCAGACTTGGTATCACCTGTGTTTTACATGGGCTTCAGACAGTGGTGCTGCGATCTACGTGGACGGGGCGAAAGTAAAAGAAGGTGCTCTAGCCACGGGAAAGACACAAAATGCTGGTGGTGTGATGAATGTGGGACAGGAGCAGGACTCAGTTGGAGGAGGTTACGATGCAAACAAGGCTTTTGCAGGGAGTCTGTACAACCTGAACATGTTCCGATCAAAGCTGAGCGATGATCAGGTGACAAAGCTTTACGCTGAAGGAACTTTCTGTGAGAAGATTCCAGATGAGATGTGGGAAGCTGGAGCAGTGATGGTGGCCTACAAGGACTTGTTCAGTCTCATTCCTGGCGGAGATGTTGTGTTCGACAGTGGGGAAGCAGCTTGGAGACACGGTGCTATCCACTGTAGAGGAGATGATCTGGACGTGGACGCTCACAAACCAGACTGCTGGAAAACTGAGAAGAATACCAGTTATAAGGACAGCGGAAGTTTGGGATATATTGTGGGGGATCTGGATGCAGCTAAGGCAGCGTGTGCTGCTTACGGTAAGTGTAAAACGCTGACGTGCGCCGATAAGGATGGTGTACTGAAGTGTGAGATGAAGGAATCGATTGAGAAGGCAAAGAAGGACAAGAAGAAAACCTCATATACTTACAGATGTTAAATCTGAGAAAATAGAAGAAAAAACATCGCAGTTGTTGTTGATTACTAACTGTTTAATCTTTGGAGACTTTTCAAATCTAAATTTTTTTCTTATGATTATGAATGGTATTGATAATGAAAATATAAATAAAGTTGTTGTACTTTGATTTTTGTATTATTTAACCTTAGAACAGCCATTCAAAGACTATACACCTGGTTTCATTGAACATTATTTTATAAATGACGTTTTGAATAAAATGACAAACTTCACAAAAAGTAAAGTCCCAACATGTAAAATTAAAAATAAAAGATAAATAAACAAATTATAAAATTTGCATGCTTCGACATGGACAATCAAGTAATATAGTATATATATGATTAAGTGTTTCGAAATTGTGTGCAAAGTATTATCCAGAAAACCTACCCTCTGAATAGCTTTATTAGTATTTTATTTAAAAATAGGATATGCAGAATATCGTACAAAATTGAGAATACTAATTATCTATACTATAATTCAAAGAATTATTTCTGCTGTCTGTACGACCGCCCACGTGCAAATTATATGAAATATGAACTTGCGTAGTAACCATGGTAACGGTCTTAAAAGTGCACTTGCACGTGCAAGGATTTGAGAGGGGCATTTTGATCGGTTTTGTGGTAATTACGTTGTGTTTAGTGCTAGCTACCTTTTAATTGGCTGTATCTTGAACGGTTGTGATGGATATTTGTTGATGCTATAAAAACTGACTACCAAAGAATACTATTAGTATTACTAATAGCTTCCTCCCTGTGACCACGGGCTTTCTAGTTATTTATAAAGTTATAATAAGAATATCATAAAGTCAGATTCGCTTAGATGTAGGCTGACCTCTTCTTCTTCGTAGAAGCTTTATATCTGTTTAAATGTGGATACTAAGGCGAAAAGACCACAAAAAATGAACTAAATTGCCCGTATCTTGGTTTGCGATATTCGCGGAATTGATCTCATTAAAATTTTAACAACTCAGTTAGTTTTCAAAATTACAGAGAATATGTAGTTTAGGCTTACCTGTTATAAAAAGTAAGTTTCATTGAAAAATATTGATATTTGACCAATTTATGGAACGAAATCTACCAAACTTGGTGCTTATGCCCAAATATGGGCATATGGTTTTTGGCTCATTACTCAGTCATTTTTGTACAATCTTGATGAAATTTCATATACGAATTCAGGAGACCACTAGCTACAAGTAGAGCACCATAAACCTGGGTTTTGGGTATGTTCAGGGTAATTGGCTAAATTGGGCCTAATTTGGACCAAATATGGCGTGGCTGCCCCGCTGTCACCGTTTGGCGGTTGGCCCCCCCCCCCCCCCCCCCCCCCCCTAAATAAATAGTTTAATTGAAAGTTATAATTTATACTATTAGTATTACTGATTGTCCCTGGGTGAGTAGCTGTAAACTTTTATTGTTGTATTCATGAAACATCGTGCAGTACTTTGAGGATAAAAGATCTCTTATAATTTATTGTCACATCATCAAATTGTCACGTTAACATGGTTACTACTACTAGCTGTATATAATAATACAACGTAAAGCACATGATGTCAGACCTATCAATGAGTCTATTTCTTTAAACAATCGAAATGTGAATATTGAACTAACACATGATCAGAGTAAAAAATGATCCTAATTAACATTTGATGGCTAACTGAACCCTTAAAATGTGAGGTCATGATTAGTTTAACAGCACTGCGCTGGTAGTACGTAAATGCTAGTATGCTAGTAGCGCTACGTAATCATGGTGGTGCGTCCTGTGTAAGCAATTAGATAAATCACAAGTTATTTCATTCGAAACTTAATTGTTACCATGCAAATGAAATAACAATTTTGCACATACAAATCTTGGTTCTTTTTAGACAATTCTTGTTAGGGTTGTGTTTTATCCATTTTAAGTTTGGGGCGGTGCCGCCCTTAACTTAAAATGAATAGCAAAAATTTGCGTCCCATAAAGCATAAAGGCAGCATCACGCCGTGAATATAATATGTTTAAATATGTCACACAATCCTAACCCTTACCAATACCATACAAAGTTATAGGATTGGTGTTTTACCGTCACGTGACCAAAACAGTTTTTTGTCAATAACTCCTCGGGGAAGTATTTTAACACTAAGTCATGGACTCAATGGAGTTGACATAATAACAAGGACAGGAACCTTCCGTAAAATAATTAGAAATAAATTAGTACAGTAGTGGAAAATGGAAATGCTAAGTCTCATGGTGATGGAGCACTGAGAATTGTCGTTGTTTTGCCTGAGCCATTTAAAATTAATATCGTTAAGAAATTTAGATTCACTTCTTCTGTCAACTTCAAGTTCAACAACTTTGCAGGTCCTAGTTACTAAATTAAAATTTTAAATACATGGTTTGACAAAATTGAACTAATCTTACTGGGCGGCGCTCAGCTTGTCATTCCGCTGAATCTCTAATCTATGTTTATGAACATTATAGCCTGGGTCCCCAGGTAATACTAATCGAGCATGGCGTGTCGCATGAATCTATGTTCGGGCGGCGGTGGTCATATTAATATAGTACAACTACTTTGTTACCAGTACCATTAGTGCACACGGGATGGTTATTTTGTGGTTAATTTAATGCTATTATTCAATTGTTACCGAGTAAGCAAACGCAATTTTATTTATCCATTGTTATCATAGAACGATGTGGACTGCTTTCATCAAGGAGTCCGACAACAAATGCAATTTTAAAAATATTACACGCTATTTGATATTTATTCACCATTTTGTATGAGTCGAACATTTTCTTAGTGTTTAATTACCTTGGTACTACTGGTTATTATCTGTTGTCTCCAAAAACAGGTAATTCCAGATTAAGACTGCTAATAGAATTGTATTTATTCTAAACTAAAGAGTTGTGATCTATGTTAGTTTGGTTTTTTAACCTTTATCAAGCTGATTTTAAAGCTTCACTATTATTTTATAATTATATTGATTATTGCGCAATTCCGATTCGATCTATAGCTCTATTCGAATGAAGAAAAATTACTTTTAGAATAATTTTGACACCAAAAAAGAGCTATGGTAAGTAGAATTTTGCGGATGTTCATTTATTGTTTATTTCAGTCCCTCAATTCAACACGATTTCCTTTGGAAACTCTACTAGCTGATATTGAAATTCTTTGCTCTTGAAGAGCTGAAGATGATCCGGTCACTAGTTGTGGTGTTTTCACTGTTTTTGACATGCTCAACTTACAGCGTGGGGTGTATAGATGATTTTGATCTCGACGCCAAAGATCGCCAGGTGATAATTCATAATATTTTATTTTTTTGTTTTTCGCTCTCTTGAGCGATCATAAATGATATTGATAAATATCATTTATCACGGTAAAACGAAATACAATTTGTATTGTAAACGTTTTGACTACATTTGTCGAAGACGAACCGCCGCGTTGTCAACATACGTTGCCAAGTTGTCTTCATCATTGAAGTCGACATCATCAGCATATTCAGTGTTAAAACGAAGCGGAAGGCCCATTTTTGGTCGCAATTATGCCCAATCATGCCAAATCACGTTAACATGATTAAAACCCAAATTTTAGGTACTGTACTTCTAGCTGGTTGTCCCTGAACTCGTATATAAATTTTCATCAAGATTAGACAAAAAATTACTGAGTTATGAGCCAAAAACCATACAGCTATATTTGGGCATACTCACCATATTTGATTGATTTTGTCCCGTAAATTGGTCAAATATCAATATTTTAATGAAACCAACTTTTTATAACTTATAACTTAAGGTCGAAACCCTTAATGTCCGTACAAAATTATGTTTGTTCACGTAATTTCCGGTCAAATAATGTCCGATAAATAGCAAATATAAAAGGATTGATTGATATCCAACATTTATTTTTAGGGCTACGACTACCGTATACCACATTCTAACGAGGCTGGCTACTGGAGCGAAGACGTAATAAAAATAAATAACAAAGACGAAATAACTAAAGTGTTTTGGAATAGGAACTTTTACATTTTTGGAAAATTTATCGGCGAATCAAATGGAGAGGATACCACTATTTCAGGTAAATGATCATGAATTAATCAATTATATCCTATTATTTTGATGTCAACTCATACTAAAAATCGAAACGACACCAAAATATCTGGCCAAACCTCAATTTTCAAATAGACACAGTTTGGGAAAAAGAAAATACCGGCCGCAGTAAATAGTGAATTGTGGTTTGCAGCTGATTTACAGGTGCATTTAATTTATAGGGTTTTGCTGTATAAGAAAACGAACACAAAAGTAAATTATCTTAGAGTATTTGTGGTATCGGGAAAACGAATCAGACAGTGAAATTATAATGCTCGAGTAATGATTAACCTTTCAGCGGGACTGTATCGTGGCAAAGAGCTTATTTACAAAACCGTGATCAACTGTGATAGTGGAACTTGGAGAAACTGGTGAGTTTTTATTGAAGATGCTTCCCTCCGTCCTTGTCACTGATCGTTTTGGCCGTACCTGTCCGTACCTGTCCGCCCCTGCCCGCCCCTGTCCGTCCCTGTCCGTCTCTGTCCGCCCCTGTCCGTCCCTGTCCGTCCCTATCCGTCCCTGTCCGTCCCTGTCCATCTATGTCCATTCATGTCCGACCCTGTCCGTTCATGTCCGTCACTGTCCGAACCTGTCCGTTCATGTCCGTCTCTGTCCGTCCATGTCCATTCATGTCCGACCCTGTCCGTTCATGTCCGTTCATATCTGTCCATGTCCGACCCTGTCCAGTGTCCGTTTATGTCCGTCCCTGTCCATCTCTGTCCATTCATGTCCGACCCTGTCCGTTCACGTCCGTCACTGTCCGAACCTGTCCGTTCATGTCCGTCTCTGTCCGTCCATGTCCATTCATGTCCGACCCTGTCCGTTCATGTCCGTTCATGTCTGTCCATGTCCGACCCTGTCCAGTGTCCGTTTATGTCCGTCCCTGTCCATCCCTGTCCGTCCCTGTCCGACCCTGTCCGTTCATGTCCATCCATGTCCGTCCATGTCCGTACCTGTCCGTACCTGTCCGTACCTGTCCGTACCAGTCCGCCCCTGTCCGCCCCTGTCCGTTCATGTCCGTCCATGTCCGCCCCTGTCCGCCCCTATCCGTCCCTGTCCGTACCTGTCCGTATCTGTCCGTCCCTGTCCGTCCCTGTCCGCCCCTGTACGTCCCTGTCCGTACCAGCTGTCCGTCCCTGTCCGTCCCTGTCCGTCCATGTCCGTCCCTGTCCGCCCCTATCTGTTCCTGTCCGTACCTGTCCGTCCCTGTCCGTCCCTGTCCGTCCCTAGTCATCTCTAGACCTAGTCTGTATAACTTTATAAGTAAAACTGTCCAGGGTTCTCGACAGAAAAACGAAGCAGAAGCGAGTTCTTCTTCATGGTAACATACAAAAAAACCTTACCTCCTGCAAAGCTGGTGAAGATTTCGACTTGATCCTCAAGAATGATAATCGCCGTTTAGCTAATTGGATATTCAACGCACAACCGCTGCAGCACGACGTTGAATTTTTTTCAAAGAAAACGGTGAGCTATTTTCCTTAATATCAGATGCCCCCTAATTATTGTTATCTATTGATATGTTTTGACTTTTCGACTAGTTTTTTAATAATATTACTACATATTAACTACACCAGCATTGCAACGTTTTCCTTGTGGCTGTGCTATTACGTATACAGCAAATATTCGAGAAAACAATTTGCCCATCGCTTTTCTTGCAAAGGGTAAATGGCATTTACCAGTATTACAACTTTACTAAATGCTGAACAACCTTGTGAATTAGGCTTCTTTTGATTGGTCGGCGTCGACAGTAAGCCTTCCCTACAATGGCTTTCACAACGCGTTTCCCCAACTCCTGCTGCGTTTTCCCAACTCCTGCTGCTGGAGAGAGAGACTCCTAAATTATATACCATAAATACATTAAACATAGATATCGACAACAGACTCCGAGAGTCTTGAAGTTCTGTTACCACCGCTCCTGGTGCAACCCCGCCGGGTTAACAACGGAGAGACAGGGACTTCCAGGGGAGGTCATGGCCTGCTACTTGCAACTCCTAGGAGTACCCCTTTGGTTTTGGATCGGACACTCAAAAATATCGATAGAGGAGCGGTCTACACGCTCACAGGCTACCACGTCTCGTATAATCCCAAGATTTGACACGTTCACAGGCTACCACGTCTCGTGTAACCCCAGGATTTGACACGCTCACAGGCTACAATGTCTCGTGTTACCCCAGGATTTGGTTTTGGATCAGACGCTGAAAACAACAATAGAGGAGCGGTTTTCACTGCCGCAGTTAAAAAGGGTAGGAGTAATTACCCGCTGAGTCAAAACCCGCATTAGGTGAGCAATTCTATTCGGAGTGCCCTCACGTGTCCAATAGTATCTTAAGGTGGTAAAAAGTGGATATATGAGGTGGCCCGACGGTCCTACGATGTCGACAAAAGTCTGCTCCTTCGCAATATAGACCACTCCCCTATAATTGTGTGTATTGGAAGGGTCTGTTATGCTGCGCGCGACGCTAGCCATGTGTTAATTAATTACAGTGAAGTTCCTCCTTCGCAAAGTTATTTTCCGCAATTTTCTGGATTTATTTATTGTTGATGCGCGCGGCGCTACATAGTACATTGGTCAAATAAATCGTCAATTTTTATAAATTTTACCATGCGCGAATCCCACTCATTTATTATTTTTTCCCTAGTCACACTTTTCACTCGAAAGAATTAATGGTACAAAATACAAGTAGGGAAAATTGATCTTACTGGGCCGCGCTCAGCCTGTCATTCCGCGCCGCCTAATCTCTATTTTATATGTTAATGAACAGAATAGCCTGGGGTCCCCAGGTAAAAATTGATCGTGCGTGGTTTAACCGCGGCGAAATTTTTGTTTCAGACGGATTTCCCTGTACTAAAATGCTTTTGCGGAGTGACAATATTCAAACTTCGATAAAGTATATGAAGCGGGTACTTCTCGGAAAGGAAAAATTTAGGCAAACACGATGTGACTATTTTTGGATTGATTTAATACAACTGCAGAAAATTATTTAAACTTTAAGCAAAGAAGGGCAAATTTTGACCACCTTTTTGGATTTTTACTAACTAAGTGTGTACCTGTGCTCTGTGGTTTTGCCAGGTAGCTCTCTTTAGAACTTACGGTAGCGGTGCCGCTACCTGTCGGCCCGATGGAGTGTTGAGAATACGTTCTTACTAGTTACTAGAATGTGATCTGAACTCAAACTCGTCATCACTGTGTCGGCTGACAGTCCGGTCCGTTGGGTCGGTAAGGAAGGTCGTCCACATGACACAGTACAACTAGACTACAGCACGTTGACTATGTTATTAACAAACCATAATTAGTGAGTGAGATAACTAACGAATTGAAAATAAATTTGTATCGATTTTCATTTACTTTGTATTTGTATTTTATTCCAAATCAATTTTAAAACGGTAGCGGATCTGAGCCATAAAATTCTAATTTTATATTATTATTAAAGTTAAACTTAAAGCTTTAAAGTAGGTATTTAAGCAGAAATTGATTTGTTATTGATTTTCCGCAAATTAATTTAAAAACGGTGATGAGTCTGAGCCACCATAGCAGATTAATGACTAAATGAGTACTATTTTCAGATTAAGGTTTTATTTAACCAAGCCGTCCACGATAGATATGATACGGGGCCGGATAAATATGAGGGACGCAAGATAGACCTCGGAGCACAAGTTACAGAGAAATCAAAGCGTCCGGCAGTCAAAGTGGATTCAAAGTTAGTAGCTCAACCCATTTTATTCTGCGATTATTCGAATATCACAGTGGCAAACATGACCGTTGCAATTATACTCACTAAACTATTTACCCGGCCCTATACTATTATAGATTCGTCCGGGTTTTTGAGTGACAATTCGCGGGAAGAGCCGGGATATTATCAAATAGAGCAATAGACACCCACGCAGAATCCCTCGATAGCACATTTTCAACTTGTCAAGCGTGTCTAATTAAATTTAATCCGTTCCGTTAATCTAAATATCATTCCGTTAATCGAGATACTGTGCTTTTATGGGAATTCCCTCAACGCGCGGTGCATGAGTGAGTGTGTCAGGCAGTGTTTTGCACGTGACTTGCGCGCGACCACTGAACAACTAGTTTTCGCGTCATGTGACAAGTGCGTACGTCACATGACCTGCCAACGTGCGGCTATATCCCTGCTTGGAAACTGGGTGAAACAAGTTTTCCATCTGAATACCTCCGCTATGCCAAACAGTTGGTCACAGCCCCTTCCCGCTAGCAGTATAACTATATAGTGTTGATCCTCGATTTGACATCAGGATAGATACTAATAAATTATGTTCAACCTGAACGAGTTACTCGAAATTAAGCAACTAAATAAGGATCAATAGCGATTATACACTCTCACTCAAAATCCCGGACTCATCTGTAATACATAGACACTCCGCCCTCAATATTTATTTAAGTGTAAACACTCGCTCCCGCTCAGGTTTACACCTGAGAAAGTCAACTCGTGCGCTAGCGCGCACTTGTAGCTTTTTATCAAATAGAATCCGCTGCGCGAATTCTATCTCAAATAGATTACTTCGTGCGGCGTGTCTAACTAGACTCAATGTATTTTACAGTTATACCGGGTCCAGGACTCTAGGGCGTAAGAGTAAGAGTAAGACTCTAGGGCGTGAGACTTTAGGGCGGCGCCCTAACCCTAACCATCACCCTAACCCTAACCCTAACCCTTATCCTAACCCTAACCCTAACCCTGACCCAAACCCAAACCCTAACCCTAACCCTAACCCTAACCCTAAGACCCTAGAGTCTTACGCCCTAGAGTCTTACGCCCTAGAGTCCGGACCCCAGTTATACCCCTTTACTGTTTTTCAGGCAAAGTCTCACCAAAAGTAGTTTAGCAGGCATATTTTAAGTTCAAAAAAATTCTAATTGAATGTCAAAAATGACAAAAATAAAAATTAGTCATGTGGAGGTTTTTTAAGAAATTTGCGGAAAATACGCGCCAGAACTGTTGTACAAAATTTGGTACATTTACATAACCCAAAATCGCCATATTCAGGTGCCTTAAAAATCATGTTAAAATTGAGTTAGAGATCTGAAATTTTGCAGGGCGTGTAGATGTTGACCAAAATCGACTGTGAAAAAAGTTTCAAGTTTCAGGAGTATATCGGGAAATTAGTTTTCTGGAACCCCTGTTTTACAACAGATTGTCGTGAAGTATATTAATATCATGTATCTCATGTCAGTGGTGGCAAGCACGACCGCCGCCATTATACTCACTATACTATAATTTACCCCCCTATACTTCTATTATCACAGGAGGGGCAAAGTGCAAAGAAACTGCTGCTCACTGCTAATAACTGCTGCTCACTACTGCTCGCTGCTGCTCACTGCTGCTCAGTGAGCAGTGAGCAGCAGTGAGCAGCAGTTAGCACCAGTGAGCAGCAGTGAGCAGCAGTTAGCAGCAGTGAGCAGCAGTTAGCAGCAGTGAGCAGCAGTTAGCAGCAGTTAGCAGCAGTTTCTTTGCACTTTGCCCCTCCTGTGTTATACCCCCTTAACTGTTTTCCAGGCATTATAAGACTCACCGAAAGTAGTTCAGCAGGCATATTTTAAATTCAAAACATTCTAATTCATTGTCAAAGATGACAGGAATAAAAAATAGTTATGTAAAGGTTTTTAAGAAATTTGCGTTAAATACGCGCCAGCACTGTTATACGAAATTCGATTAAAAAACTACAAAATTGACATATTCACACATTTATTCTGGTGCCTTAAAAACGATGTTAAAATTGAGTTAGAGATCTGAAATCTTGCAGGGCATCTAGACGTTGACCAAATCGACTGTAAAAAAAGTTCATATTTCATACATGATTTTTTACATTCCATTGAATAAAGCTTTCGACTTGCGGGTTTTTAGAAATTAGTAGTCAATATTGGAACCAGGTGGGACAAAAGTAGGACAAAAACGCATGTGCCAAAAACAATTGTAAATGATGGCTATAGTTATAAGTTAGGCATAGGAGCCATCGAAAGTCGTACAGAATGACCCAGGCTCATGGAATAAAAGGAAATGAACGAAAATGAATATTCTCCTGAAAGTGCTCAGAATGGTTCAAAACTGTTCGGAAAGAATTTGTGTTGGTCCTAGGACCACTTGAAACAAGTTTGGGAATCACTGCTTGGCTAGAACCGATGTAAGGGTGATGTCTATTGAATCTTTATTGCCGAATACAGCTGCTTTTGGGCAGTTCTTCTTAATCTACCACAATTGTAAATGAATGGTAAAAGCGAGCGACCGATTTCATTCTCGGTATCATTTTGCATTTGTAGACAGTCATTCAAATTAATATCATTTCCTTTTGTTTGGGAAAGAGAAACACTGGCAGCAGTCAACTCTACCTAATTGTGGGCTTTGGTCAAATTTAGTTTATGTAATAAGCGCCATTAGTGGGCACAGAATATTTTCCTCCGGGTTCGATAAATTGTGTACAAAAATTTGTCTAAAAGATAATTCCATCATGAAGCAATATTAGCTAAAAATGCTAAACGGCGCTTGTAGTTGTTCGATGGATGCTTTTTTCGGTCAAATTTTTAGATTTTGGTCTATAACTTCCACAGTTTCAGTTATTTTGAAATGATTGTTATGAGTCGTAATCATTATCAACTAAGCGATCAGACGAAACTTTTGATACTAACATTTTAAGATTTAAAGGACAGTTATTTTCGAAATATGTTATCCTGAACACAAGGCCGGTTTCCCCTCTTGTATATGAATTTTAAACGGCCCTTATAGCGAACAGGGGGATGGCTGTTCGTTTGAGTACTATGGCTATGAGTATGACGCAGTTATACAAGTCAGGCAAAACAATTTGTGACCTGCCTATTGGCCGGGCGCCGCCATGGACTCAACACATGGTCCAAGCAAAGTCCAGTATAAAGGAAGGTAGTATTGATCAAGCTAATTATGATCCTGTAAAAATTGTTTTAAAATATTTGATATTATAGGATTTAAAGGCATTTTAAATTTAAGCAAGAAATTACCCATTTTTCTTTATTTTTACACATTTGTATTTGTAACCTGACCTTATCGTGCTGCACGGTGAATTTGCATTATTCAATATTCATACTTAAAGGCAACTATTGGTATCAAATTTATCAAACTCGGAGACAATAAATTCTGTGCTAGCGATCATGGCGCTTATTACATACTTACTATAGCGTTGAAAGTATTTATACTACTAGTGTAAACCGGCCTTCGGCCGGGATTTCATTGCCGTAGTTAAAAAGGGTAGGAGTAATTACCCGCTGAGTCAAAACCTGCATTAGGTGAGCAATTCTATTCGAAGTGGCCTCACGTATCCAATAGTATCTTAAACAATAATTTCATAATCAGTTCTTTCTCGTGGATAATTAAGTCATTATTAGGCACCACATTCCATGATCATAAGGTCCGAACACCGAATATTACACCTCATCACTCTCGTCTTGAACCGCTTTCCATTTTTATTTAAATCGTTTAGAAATTAACCCTTATTAACTCCGCACCACGCCCGCCTTATATTTGAAAACATGCATTACATTGTCGTATGAAAGTAAACAAACAGACCGCAATTCAACGAGTGGCTCCCTCCGCCCTCCTCCCCCTCCTAATAAAGTAATAAGCTTATAGTATTACACGCATAAAAATTGTTGTATAAAAATATGAACTCTCTCTCTAGTCTCTACAGTTCAAACAGACCGGAAACAGTGCCTCCTATAATTAGCGGAGCTAATCTAATTACCAACGCTAGGTACATAATATATAGTGATGGAATTATGGAAGAGAGCGAGGAGGGAGAAAAAGTGAGCCATTTTATGTCACATTTTTGGTACAAAACCATCAATTAAGCCACTTACCACCGACCAATTTAAAAAACCTTTATAATTTAACTTCGTCAGAGTTTTGTCGGCACTTTACCGAACAAAATCAGCCCCGTAACTCTTACCGTTTTCTTGATTAAGCTGCTTGGAAATTACACACGCACACACAGAAAACACACACACATCTTGAGAATATTATTATTGATTAATAAAATATATCTATGCATATCACGACAATCTGTCGTAAAACAAGGAATCCCGATGCTCCTTAAACTTTAACATGTTTTTGCCATCGATTTTACCGAAGTCTAGACGCCCTGCAAAATTGAGCTAGGGATCTGAAAAACAGTTTAGATTTTAAAGGGGATTGTTCTTAACTAATACGGTCGTCCACAAAAGGGTTTTTTAGGCTTATTAAAGTATGAATTTTTAAAATCAAAGAAATAACATTAACATTATTAATTTCAGATACTCTACTTTCGCTGCAACACGATTTGAATTCACGGCAACTGGCAGAGCGGTCTTTAGTCGTTTGGCCTTCGGGCAATGTAATGCATGGCCAAAAAACATGGAGATGCAATGCCAAAAAGTTCGAACATGGATACAGCACAGAAGCAAAGCGAACTTTACTGCTGTTACTTTGGCAGGAACAAAAAAAATTAATCCGGAAAATGGAAACTTCTCTAGGGGACTTGGAGTTTTTGGCAACAACAAGCACACTTTCTTACCAGACTGTCTTACTGATAAATACTTTAATTTCTTTCAACCACAAATCCATGGCAACAAGTTCCTTCCATTGAAATCAGTTAGAAAGACGTATATATTAACAGACAATAACGGCCAGAACGTATATCGATATGCTGAATCAAAAAACCAAGAGCGTGCATTCTGCTGCTGTACAAACATGAAGACAGGGAGGGTACTCGATGACGATGAAAGAAAGAACTGCATATCGTTAACTGATTGTTTAGCCAATGATTGGACTTGTAGACAAGCATTCGATCCCGAAATTGGGATGGAAATTGAGGAACAATTGCAAAAGGACAAACAAGAAAAACAAGAAGCATACATGCGAGGACTGCAAAATGGAAATGGCATTATCGTGAAGGGTCTTGCTGGGGTAAAAGCTAAAAGGATAAAGAAGTTGGGCTGGAATTAGGGATATACCGGACAATAAGCTCCTCTTTGGATAGGACAATTTCTAATTTCTAATTTCTAATTTTCTTCTACAATGAAACTGTGATTAGAATTATAAACGTAGCACTTTGATTTAAAATAAGTTGGGAGAGGATTTTTTTGTCATGTTTCAATATTTATGATAGTTTAATCAAGCGTACAATTAGATTTTATGAATTGTTTTCATGCATATTAAATCTATCGTAAATTATAGATCCTCTATAAGTCTATAGTAAACTACAGATCCTCGATAAATACAACGGTGAATGCTAAAAAATAGTTAAATGAACACTGAAAATAAAATCAAATTGTACTAATGCAATATTCACTTGATAAGTTGATATGAGTTTAAATTCAACACATTTGACGATAACAATTCTCGAAACTGAAAGATTATTGATAGCCAACTTCAAAAAATACTTTTAACAACCCGAGTTTATTCAAAGAATCTCCCAGCTGACCAATGAGGCAGTTGAAGCACTGAATAGGCAGATTACAGAATTCATAAATGATTTAGCTAAAGAAAGCTCGATATCTCTAAACAGACCCAGAATCCAAAACCCAAGTTCTACTCAAGGTTTGATCGACAGCAAGTGCACGACAGCACGACGCCTTTAAAAAAAAGAGAAGTTGGGCCTGACTGGCCCACGAGAGGATAGCATGAGGATGCTCTGCCTGCCTCTGGAGCATGGCAGCTCTATAAGGGGAAGTTGCCAATGAAATCGAAGTGTATAGTGTAGGATGTTAGTAATTGTTATGAGAGGGTTGAGCCTGACGTGATATCATGGATCACTTAGGTTCCACAGGGACACGTCCAACTTGATTGGAAATTGCTAAAATCACTGAAAACTGCTATTGATAATATTATTTTCACGATTTTATCAACTTTGGTGTCCCGCTACCTATAACGTAAATTTTTTTGTTCGAGACAATTTGAACAAGAATTGCGCCTGTTTTTTCGTTATACTTATAGCGGACGCTAGATTTTCATTCACTATAACTATAAGTATAAGCTCTAATCAGTTCACTTCATAATAATAATATTGATAGATTATGCTTTATATACGGAAAACACTTGAAATTGCCGTAAGACTTAACTTGTATCTGTCCTTCCATCCGCGACAAACAAATCGAGCTGGTCTCCAGCTATCTTGGAATTATTATCTCATTATATAAGCAGCACAGGGACATTTTGGCAAGCGACTGACTCTCTCTACCGTAAAGGACTTGGAGTTTACTTCAGCCTGAGAGGAACTATGGACTGGAGATTCATCGATGCATCCTGCCTTTACAAATTATTTAACACCCTTGTAAAGCAAATTCTACTTTACGCTGTCAAATACGTCCCCGGCTCAGCGGTGCTACCCACCGTCAACAAGATCGTCTCTTGCTTCAACAAACATCATGCAGTTACTCACATGGCAAAACAGCAACTGGAGCGGGTGCACCTACGTCATTCAAATATCTGCTTGGTATAAATAGAAGAGCAATCAATGACGCAGACTGGCTAGGAACTGGCTCATACCCACAACCCAATCATCATTGATTGGGTATGAGCCATATTGACCTTATTATCAGATTTCGTTGTAACTCTCCTCGCGTCCTAAGATGGCGTTTCTATGTCTCGTATGTACTATAGGAGACATTTAATATGTGTGGCACCCCACTGTATTACCTTATGTCGGCACGTGACAGTGATCAGAGTGATCAGAGTGATCATGCACATGGCTACCTGCTACAGTTATTATACCTGTCAGCATGCAAATGCCTCTTAGTATTTCTAAAATGACACGCTGATTATCCAAGTACCGAATATTTACAAAAAATTCCACTCATGAATTAGTTTCAATCGCATGATATGAGGCTGAAAGTGTTGACAACAGTGAAATCTGAATTGTGTCGGGTCTTCTTAAGACCTGTTTTCGACAGGTCATATGGTACATTCCGTATACTCACGATCTACATTAGTGTCTTTTCCCTATTTTTTCATAAAATGAAAATGCTTTGAGATTATTAAAATTAAATAAAAGCTCTAGACAAGGAATAGTTAAAAAATAATGCGCAAGTCTAATCTTTCCCTAAAACAAATTACTAAATGTCAGAACTTCATTGTAGTTTCTGCCAATATGTTTTATCATAAGCTAAAGTACGGAGATAATATTAATACAATTCAAAAATAATAAAATATTTATATATTTTTTGAGATACGGCTTTCAATTTTTTACACGAATTACGTGAGTTATTAGAATGTTGCGTGTGGGTAGTAAATTTTGGCCCACTCTAGTGAAACTGAGTTAGAAATATCCAAAATACATTTCCTGACGTGATAGCGAAAAGCCAATCAAATCCCAAAATCGCTCGAGCGTGCTAAATCACTCTAAGTCTACATGGTCGATCTTCAAGATTGTTCTAAAAGGCCCCCCGATAGTTGTAACCGACTTCAACGGATGTATTTTCGGACGCTGATTCCGAATCACCCGCCATGACATAGGGTTCGCTGTCACGTATCAAACCAAATTTTATTTATCTTTACACTTACTGGGCCGCGCTCAGCCTGTCATTCCGCCTAATCTCTATTTTATCTCTGTTTATAAACATGATAGCCTGAGGTCCCCAGGTAACCTTACACCAGAATCCACATTCATTTTTATCCAGATTATTATCTGAAAAGTTGAATTTTTGCGCGAGTTTTCATACTTTAATCCCTGTAAGATACGAAAACTATACGAATCCACCAAAAACACAGTGAAACAATTATCAGGAGGAAGCGATCTTTCAATCCCTCTGTAAATCAGCGAGGCTATGATCAAAACCGTTTTTGTTCAACAATGGAACAATTAGAGCGAAAACTGAACAGAGAATTGGGATTCTACATCCTCATTAAGGCAAGCTTCGGTTGCGAAACATATCTGTCGATCAACCTACGGCCACAGCAGACTAAGAGACTTGCGGAACTCAGAACAAGCTCGGATCAATACAACATTGAAACAGGAAGACACGGGTCACAGCATGAACCGCCATAAACTAGGGTATGCAAACACTGTTCTACTACAGATGTGGAGGCACTCGACCTTCTTCTAGCTTTCTAGAGCTTCCTTTCCCTGATCTAATCATCGAAGATGAGCTTCATGTATTGCGCACTTGCCCTCTTTATGAAGATTTCCGTCACTGAAGGTTCCAATTACCGAAGCTCATGAACGAAGATTCCCTAAAAAGCTAAAAGCCTAAAGCATCCTCCTAACAATAACAATATTGCCTAATGTAAGACTCAGAATACTTTTAGAAGAGTCCATTTATTTTATAAAATGATAAATCTCATTCTGAAGATTTGCGGGGATTATTTCTTTGTTTATTATAGTGGTTTCAATTTTATTCTCATTCTCTTGTATATATCTATATAATATACTTTTTGACTTTTGGGTAATATAAAGTTACTTTATATAATACATATTGGGTCAGACATTACCATTGTAATTTGACTTTTGAAGTCCTAATGAGTGTTTATTTAATTGTCCGTTCAAATAAAGTGTTCAGATCTCTTCCCAAAAGCATTTCATTACAAACTTATTATTGTCCAGTTTATGAATAATTATGTTGGACAATTTAAATTTCTATTATCTGATTCAATTATATCAACACTAGTGTAACCCGCCTAGTATATTCGAGAACACATATTACGTTGTCGTAATTTGGTGCAAAAGTATGAACTCAGTTAGTCCAAACTGACCGAAATTTAATTCTGAGTGCCCCCCCCCTCCCCCTATAATAACAGGCAATCTTGCGGATTATCCACTGCCAAATAACCTAATATAATTATACAGCAAAACTGTAATGCTGCAATGGGGGAGGGGGCGATGAGGAGCGGGAGAGAGGGAGAAAGCATTATATTTATAATGTCACATTTGTGGTACAAAATCATCAATTAAATCACTTACCACCGATTTAAAAAATGTACGCTGTAAGAGTTGTGTCTGGAATATACCGAAAAAACCGTTTTACTGCTTACTGCTATTTTTACTTATGGTATGTATTAAAAGTCGATTGAAAAATTATATGCTAAAATTTTTTTTTTATTTTATTGAAAATCTTTTCAAAATAGTACATACATCAATGTAATTGCATGAAAATAACACGGTCAAAAAGTGATTTCTATGTACTATAATGACGGGAAACCAGAACGTAGTTCGTGCAAAAATTACACCTACAAAGTATGGTCCCTGACAAAACATTTCATACAATCAACACATATAAATGTAAGATATATAGTAATAGAGATGATTGTGCAATAATAAAATACAGCGTGCATAAAATATCATAATGTTAATAATTTGTTAACTTTTTAATGAAATAGATTATATCATACAATACTTTTAAAAACCCAACCCACAACCCAACCCACCCCTAACCCCTTAAATAGTTTGGATCGGTTATTTTAGATTAGAGAATTGGCATTGGGAGAAATGAGATGCATCTAATCATTATCAGACAGGTAGAATTCAGCGTGACTATCGTTTGGATCTGTGGGTAGCATTTCCGACCATAGGTGATCCTTAAGTTTGGCCTTGAAGATATCAGGACAGCTATGGTCTCTTATTTCGAGAGGAAGTTTATTCTAGAGCAGATGTGTCCGATAAAAGAATGATTTCTTAAGGAGACTGCTATTACACTGTGTTTGAACAAGAGTCGTTACATAACTTAGGCTGTCATGGTGACATGATCTTAAGCGTGTGCTTCCTTTGTATAGTTGTAAGTAATTAGGAAGCTCTTGTGTGCATACACCATTGACTATTTTGTGAAACAAGGTCAGGTCATTCAATTCAAACCTCTTGCTGAGAGGAAGGATTTTCAATTGATGACATTTGTAAGTATAGTTTTCAAAGGACTGATAGCTTGTGAATTCCTCATCAAAAATCCACTTAATACACCTTTTTTGAAAAGCATCCATCTTATCTAGTTGTGTTTTATTAAATGGACGCCAGATTTGGGAACAGTGTTCAAATTGACTTCTAACAAGTGCAAGGTATAAATTTCTTCTTCGTCTCACATCATGGACAAATGAGCAAGTGCGTTTCAGCAGCCCAAATTTTTGGTTAGCTTTGGAAAATATTTTAGTTATGTGTTCTTCAAAACGAAAGCCCTGATTTATAACGACTCCAAGATCTGTTTCCGTACT